CCACTAGTCGGGTGACAGGATTTTCTGCATTCTATTTAGTTCACAGAGTACACCCAGTTTTGCCATTTGATTTAGCAGAAGCTACATTCATGGTAGATGGATTTAAGAGCGGAATGACTTCAGTGGATTTATTAGCACTTAGAATACGCCAGCTTGAAAGACGTCCCGAAGACCTAGAGCAAGCAGCAGAAACCCTAAAGAAAGCTCGGTTCAAATCAAAAGAGCAGTTTGAGAAGAAGTATTCAAAGCGATTAAGACGGGAAGCTTATCAACCAGGAGATCTGGTACTGGTACGTAACACTCGGATAGAAAAGGAACTAAACCGAAAGACTAAACCCCGTTATCTTGGCCCTTATAAAGTAGAACGGCGAACTCAGGGAGGATCATATGTACTAAGTGAAATGGACGGTATAATATCCCGTCGTGGAGTCGCTGCCTTTAGACTGTTGCCATACATATCAAGAAACTCGCACCAATTTTGGAGACTTTCTCAAGGAATTGAGGAACTTGAAGAGGAACATCTTCTCCCTGATTCTGATGGACCAGTGGAATAGCGAAAGAAAAGCCAGCTACTCCCCACAGCAGCTAAAGATGTGGCGCCAGAAAGCCCGCGCTAACTTGCTTCACATTACAGCCGTTTGGATCGGCCACGTGCTAGAGAAACATACACACTCAGAAGGAACTAGTGACATTTTGTTAGAACCTGGGAACACGTACCTTACAGAACCATTAAGCCCAGAAGAACGGGATACATTATCAAATTTTCCCAACTGGATTTGCCCAATCTGCGCTACCTTAGAACAACGGGCCCAGAACGTAGAAGCTCACCTGAAGGAAATTGAAAGAATAGAAGTTCAGTCGTGGGTAACATTTTCTTTAGATTAGTTTTCCCTAGTTTCCCCTCCCCAAAGTTTTTTTCTAATGAATAGCGTACCTGCTGAGGAACGCTTATTGCATGAAACACAAGCAGCCTGCCTTGTTTTATTTGTACATCACATACACTGTTCACATGCCACTCTATTTTCCGGATATTTACTTACTATAACTGTACTATGGGATTTGGGATACAAACGATTGGTAAAGAGACATTGCCCCACATGCTATTTATTGTTTCACTGGTTACTGCGCGCTGAAGGACAATCAATTGAGCCGGAACCTAAATTAATGACGGAACCTTAATTTCGGCAACAGGAAGAATGCAAACCTTAAATAACTTAAAACCCTAGCGGCATTAATAAAACAGACAGCGCCTTTTTCATTCACAATTCATTTAGGGGTTAGATCGCAGGGACTTTCAATTTTGCCTAGTATAGTAATACTTTAAATCCCTGAAGACCCTTGTACAACTTTCATATATAGGACGCCAAAATTTGAAGGCGTTCCTCAGTTTTCCGCTGGCACACAACAGCGCTACTCAATATCACTCTTTTTCTGGCTGCAAATCACTCCTCTCTTTCTTTAACTATGCTCTTCCGCCGCCATCCCAAGTCATTTGTCGACCTGACTCATCAGCACCCTATCATCAAAACCAAACCAGATGCATACACTTCCGCACCGGACCGCTGCTGGACGTACCACCAAATTTGCTGCACCTATCACGCCACTTTTGCCCTCGGCCAAATTGTGCGCCTAGAGGACCAGTCCAAATTCCACCAGATCTTCACTGGCCGAGTTTCGGAAGTAGTGGAGCACTACAAGGACGTCTTTGTTGTGCATGTCACTCCATTGGACTATGAACCCACTAATCCACTCGCTCCACCACCCGTTCGTCTTACCCTGTCTACTCACGTCCTTTCCCTTCCCAAACACCTTCGCTTTCTACGCTGGTGCAAGAAGCGCACCAAGTGCCTCAGGAAATTCAAGGCCACAGAGCCAGACGCAATTATGCGGTCCCTTGACGACTTTCAGAAGCAATTGGACGGAATGGATAGCTTTGGGAATAGTGTTGTGGAATTTGGAAGTGAAATTTTGGTACAAAGCTCTCAGGATCGCCGCCATGATGAAATATTAAGCCTTGTTAGGGGTCTGGATCCACTGCCTGATTTCTTCTAATTGACAAGTACACTCCTTTCATAGCTGATTAGTTAGTCTTTTTCTTGGTAGTATACATCATTCCATTACGGTCTGCATTTCCATATACTACGTTCGGCAGCCTTTCGTCTCCGCAAATCAAACACGTACCATAACTGTAGTCAACTATGCGAGTCTTGGAACTCATTTTGTACACTATCTACGCCCTTGCTCTATACATCCTAGCAAGCAAACATACGGGTTACGTAGAAATTGTTGAGGACGATATCTGTGCAAGTACCACAATCTGTCTTGGAGAACAATGAATCGCGCAACACGAATTGAGCAAGGCTTGGAGGTAAATCCTCAGCCTGAACCCGGGTTCTTACCCACCCAATACCTTCGTCTTGGTCAAATATATTCAAATGAAGAACATTTCCAAAGCCAGCTGACTATAGCTGAAAGTCAGATTGATCAGTTAGGAAGTTCGTTTACATGGCACGCAGGAGAAATGCATCCACATGGAGATCTACATTATCAGGTAGATGTACGACCCTATCGTGGAAGAATAAGGGTGCATACCTTCTCCGGTGGCGGTGCCCTACATGTGAATACATATTCATAACAGCACAGGACTTGAACCGTGCACTTGATGAGATAGAAGAAAGATTACGGGTTACCCAGCAAGAAGATTTTCAGGCAGAACTTCCACCCCTGCCTCAAAACCATATCATGACCAACCCATTACGATACCCTTTTCCTAACACAGAAGATGAACCCAGCCTAGCTAGGGCTTGAACACCCTTCCCCCTTCAGAGTTTGCAATCGGGGACGATTGATTTCTCAGTTTCCACTAGATGACCTGCACCAAACCGGTTCGGTGCATGGACGACCAATACTCTCTCATGAGTCATATACCCTGAAATACCACTATGAAACCCTTTTCCCTTTTATCTGAAGTTGGGCACCAATACTCTCTCATGAGTCATATACCCTGAAATACCACTATGAAACCCTTTTCCCTTTTATCTGAAGTTGGACTGAGGCTAAGGGAATATTTTTTGCTTTTCTTTTTATTTTTTTCAAGTCTATATGCCAGCAGCCTGAATATTTTAGTACATTTAATTCTGCGATGAGTTTTGCTTAGTCAGCCATGGTGATGACCCAGACAAAATCCCACACATGTCAGGTGACTGTGAAAAATATTTCCCACATATGTTGTCCTGGAAAAACATTAGTAAACCCCTAAATACTAGGCTCACGTCATTCTCACCCTTCAAACAAAGCAAAGCAAAGACAGCCACGCACAGGATTCATATCATGTGACACTTCTTACTCTCCTTCTGGATTTGTCATCAGGGGTTGGACAGGTCACATGACTTAGCAAATACCCAATGACTCACTATGACTCACTCTAGATACTTACTATGACTCACTATGACTCACCTTGCACATATGACTCATTATGACTCTTGATGACTCTTGAATACACTAGTAGCACAGCCACATTTATTGTGTATATAATGACCTCAGTTTTTGAAATAAAAGAAGCAGATACCAGCAGGTAGTAGGGTGTTTCTCAGCCCAACTAACACTAAGTTGTGAAGTAAGGTGTGATAAGTGTCAGTACCAGTGTCAAGAACTGTTTCAAGACTGAGAGGAACATTCTCAAGAGACAGTAATACTGCAAGCTCATCATACTGAACGACCCGCTGTGAGCTCACTGTGTGCAACAACCAGCAAGCAAGGTACAGCCACACTTTTATTCTGATTTCTATTATTCTTTTTCTTTTCTTTTACTTTCACTGACCTTTGGTGTTCTTTGTCCAAAAATACTGATCCAAAATATTCATGTTGTCTCTACGTCCACCTAAGACTCAGTAGTAGCATAGTGGGGAGACTTTAGGAATTGATAGTGAAGCTTGACCTCACTCATCTGAGTAGTGATACTGAGCCAAGATATTCTGTGCCTGCTAGGCTTTAGCCGTTGAAGAGGGGACTTGGTAGTAAACCCAAGGACGTCCATTCCTGAGTCTGTTTGAATACTCAAAGAAGAGTTCCTTGACAGCAGGTTCAATATTGAGCTAAGAGTTCTACAATAAAGCATCTGATTAGTCTTGACCTTTGATTCTACCTGTTTTGTGCTGAGGGGGTTTATCATTGTAATTCTGCACCATTTCTTTTGGAGTATAGCTTGGTACAAAGCACTGTTGTTGAAAGGGAACTTGAGGAAGAATCCCATATATTCTTTTGGTCATTGCCATACTGTCGGGCTGACCATTGTTTGTTTGTTTTCCTGTCAAAGTCCATAGATTGGATTGACCATCGTATTACTGATCTTGCAGAAGTATCCTTAGCTGAACATACCTTGGGTAGTATACAACTAGCCACCCACGAACGACCACATTATCAGTCATTGGTATTTGTCTGAATCGCTGACCGTGGAGATATTTGTTTTTATAGGTGTTTATCTATAGATCATCTATCTAAGAAGACAACGTGAGCACGATTTATGGAAGGGGATGAAGGAATGTTGTGTCTTTTACGTTCAGTCTTATTTCGACAATACTGGCTGTCCGCCTATTGTACCTCATCTCCTGTATTTGGTTGCATAGATCTTCGCGTTGCATACCTGTTGCAATTAATGTACCACAATTAGTCAACAGTTTGTATACCATCATATGTTACCAATGTTGTTTCGGTCGTAAGTGGACTTAATCATGGACACTAGGGATTGAAGCTTTTTTTCCGCATACCAGCTAACATCTTGGTTTCACAGAATTGAGTGCACATGAACAGGTATAGAGTTCCTTTCTTCACATTTCCTAGCATTCATCCGCTCCGAAGGTTGATCGACCTATTTGCCCACTTTATCGTCTTCCTTTTCGGCGCAAGTTTGGGACTTTGAGTTCCTCCTAGCGTTCAGTAGTCGCCTTTGTGTCGACACTGACCTCAGTGCAGGCTTCGTGCTTGCCTTTGGTTGTCTCATCATGGTCTTATCCATCCCTATCGCTGGGCCATCTACTCAACCACCTCACAATGGGCAGCACAGACTCATCACTTCTTCAATGGTGAAGAGGAGGCGGAGACCGCAGAAAAGCAGCAACTTTCACCTTCCTATAGCCCCCCCACTACTTGTACTTCCTGGAAGAAAACACCTCACCCAACAATCACCCAATATCACAGGAAGGTCACAGCAGCAACAGCCTTTGGGTGATGCCGGTTCTGCTGACCAGCATGATACCCCATCCGCTGGGGATCTTTTAGAGCATCAGGAGGAAGGCTCGTCTTTCTACAACTCACTCCACTACATCTCCGATGGCGACTTACTCACGCCCTCCCGTTCGAACAACCACCAAAAGAAGATTAATCAGTGGCAACACTGGACAAACGAAGTCATTACTTCCTTGATTGCTCCATACCTTGCATACTTGCGCAAATCGACTTCTCTTCGTGATCGAATTGAACTGCAGCCAGATGAAGCTGCTGCCTTTCAGTGTAGGTCCTCTTGTCGGCGGAGGGCTCTAGAGATCACTTGCATACTTTTCAATCGTATGTCTCTCTTATTACCTAGGCTATTGGTTGACTTATAATATTGTAGATATTGAGACACTATGAATTGATTGTTGCACTTGTGCGCCTGCTCCCCTTCAGCTCCTGGCTCGCAGATATTTTGCCTGTGTTCCCATTGCCCCTTCTCTCACTGTGGACCTTCAGCTGCTGGAGTTTGTCAAGACTTTGTTTGTGCATATCACTCCCAACATGACCGCTTGGTGTGAAACACTTGAAGTCTTTCTGGCTGGCCGTGGGTATCAACTTACCACCAAGGTTAGTCAAGCATCTGTATTGAATTTTGGTTGTCTTGATCAATAGTATTGTAGGATAATCTTCGCTGTCGATTTGGTAACACCTATCATTGGTACTCTGTACTCTGCATGAGCGCCGAAGATCACTTGTCAAATCTTATTGGAAATTATCGCCCACTTCCTGTGTCATCCAACGAGGGATTAACATGTCCAAGCAACTATCTAAGGTCTCACTGTCCGATTTGTTTTGGCTCAGTTGATTGGCAAAAAAGTGGAACACTTAATCTCAGGTAAGCTCCTTCAATATCAGCAACTAAATAAATCATAAAACATATAGTAGACCTGACGTCCACGCTTGCATTGATGCGTGCTTCACTCAAAAGTGTTCATCGGATCAACACGGTGGAGGTCCAGATCCCCCAAACCCAATCAGATCTGTTTTTCTTTCGGATGACAAGGTGATATTGATGGACACCCATGTGCAAAGTTGTCGCGGCAGACCCCCTGCTTGGGGTCACAAGAGAAAGCGACCCACAGAAGAGGAGGAGGATGGCTACAAGAATGGCATGAGAGTCCTGACCTCTGCGCTGGATGGCTGCGGTGAATCTTTCTTTGCCGCTGATGAAAAACGTGAAAAGGCTAGCACCCAATTTTTTGCAGACACAGGGGTGATGGCCATGTTATGTCGCCATGATCGTGTATTATGGCTCGCTAACATTACATCGGCAGGGGAAAAGCAGCACTATGCTCTCGCCCTGATCAAGAAGCTTTTCGACAATATCCCTCCCGAGATGACCATCAGCCTCTTGTATGACATCAGCTGTCAACTTCATTGAAGTTGTCTCAAGTACCCGCTCCTCGATGATGCCGTTCTTCGCCGGATAACTTTCGCAATATCAGTCTTTCATGCTTATGGCCACCAATGGGCCTGTCAAATCATATACCATCCTCGCAAGTGTGAAGGCTTTGGCCTTTCTGATGGAGAAGGTTGCGAGCGTCTATGGAGTGCACTCAAACATCTTATTGCTCCGGGTGAGTGTTCTCTGGTTCAAGAATGGTTTCATATGGGTTATAGCCACTCGTCATATTACAATTGTCATGGTTGTACCATAGATTAACCTCTGACTACAATTTAAATATTTCCTACTTACTGACCACTTTTTCAGTTTCATCAGTGCCTTTTTGTCCTTGACGCTCAGGTCCGGCACCTGGATGACAAAAACCTTGTTTTGTTTGGCAGCTGGTTGATCCGGAGTTGGAATAACTGCGCTAAGAAGAAGAGTAATGCCATGCAAGCTCTACATGAGCTTTCAGTGGATGAAACTCCTGTCTGTCAGCAGTGTAAATTACAGGTTGAACATCAGATGAGACCCCTGCCTCGTAAGTGTCATGTTGGTGATTTAATTATATTATTCATGTGTGTGATCTCGACAGGAAGATCGAAGACAAGCAACGACGAGGAAATCTCGAAAATCCTCTCTGTCAAGAAATCTCTTGTCGAGCTCGATAGATCGTTGCGACGCATAGAAATGCAACTTTGTACAGGAAATGTTGACAATCTCGTCGACTTCAACCTTCATCTCATCGAAGAGCATGCTCACTGATCAAGACTCGCGGACACTTTGAGCCGCTGGAAGACAAGGCTTGGCATCAGTCAGCGCACCCGTGAGGACCAATTACGTCGCAATGTATATCTACAAATCCATTTAGATGCTCAAGCTCTTAAGACCCGTCTTCGTGAACGACTTCAACAGCGCAAGTTCGAAATTGAGAAGCTTGAATGCTCATACAGGCAAACAGTGAATGGTACTTATGTTCTGAGTTGTACAGATGGACTTCAACTGATTGTATTTTCTTGTCACAGAACACAAGCTTAATTCTCATGTCGATACTGCAATCCAGCGACACAATCTGTCATATCCCATATTCCGGACCTACATCCGATAATATTCCCACGCCTCATCCGGACCTTCGGATGTCCTGTCCATGTCTCCAGTACCCATCCAGATCCCTGCACCTCTGCACATCCACATCCACATGTCCACGTCCAGATCCCTTATCCTTCGCAGCTAGCCTGCATCATTAATCCTTGTTCCATCGCCCTAATGCCACATCCTATATATCCACGCATCTCGTCCGGACCATATCTGATCCGGTCCGATCCGATGTATAGATCCATTTACTATCCGATATACGATAAGCTTCTTAATTCATTTCCTGTGCATGACGTTAACACAGCCTATCCGGTATTCCTTGTTCCCGGTACCTCGGTTATACTTACTACCGGTATGCTTACTGATCCATTAACCTATGCTTCATTTCCGACTCGCGTTTGATAACTTTGCTTATGCTTCATACATAGCCTCGGACCTTTGCTTATTGATCTTTCCGATAGTCACTTAGTATATAAACTCTTGTATATGTCCTGTAGTTCCTCAGTCTGAATATCATATTAGTCCTCGCACTAGTCTTTACTCCAAATCCTCTTATCAGTTCTAGTTTTCCAACTTAGTTGATATCCATCTCAGGCCTAGGGAGTTTCTCCCTAGGCCAGAGCTCCGCTCCTCCACTCCTCCACTCATCCGAAGTTCCGGAAGTCTATCCGGATCTTTTCCGCGGTCCTCCGGACCTATTCTGCTTTGGACTTTGTCCTTGCAGCCTTTCCTCTGTCTGCTTCTACTCAGGACAAGTCCTGAGTAGCCATTACATGTATCTGTATCAGGATGAAACCTCATCGTAATTTCTGGAAGTTCCTCCGGAACTTTCCCGCACTCATCTGGAAGTTACTTGCACCCATCCGGAAAGTCCTTCCGAAGTTTCCCGCGCCTTCGGACGTCTTCGGACTTTCTTTGGACATCAATCTGAAATTAAGGGCACATACTCGGGTAAGGGGCACAGCGCACGAGCTGAAGCCAAGCCCCTCAGAATCAGTCCTACCCTTTGTGCATGGTCTTAACACAATCCTACAATATGAAAACTTGTGTCCTCCTACAATAGCCTATGTGCGGATCTTAGTGCTCTTATCAGACAATGCCGCAGTCCTCCCAATGCTATAGCGCCTAACCCTATCTCTCCTGCCGGTATCTTCAATCTTGATGTTGATGCTGACATTTGGCAGGACATTGGACTCGATGATGTCGTGCCGGAACCTCCTGATTGGTTAGCTGATGAGGTCACTTGCGCTGCGATCAGACTGGTGCTTGAGATTGACCAATGTAACAAAGAAGAGTTGCATGTGAAGGTTGAGTGCTGTGCTCTGCAGGAGTGGGCTATTGTTGAGTGGGATGCTCTGCAGAGGGCCCGTGCACATGCAAGTAAGTCTTTTGTGCTTCGCTAACACTCTATGCTGACTTTCGAAGGTGATGACGACATAATCATGTATCACATGGATCTTCGTGCTCGACAGTTTATTGACCTTGTACTTGGGTGGCAAACAAAGATTCGTCCCATCCCATGTGCATGGCCTATGCCTGACTGCTGGGGGCCATCACATAATGAGCTTGCTAATGTGACACACGTGGTGTGCCCTGATGTCCATGATGATGAAGATGATGTAGGGGAGGATCGAGATGATTGGGAGTCTGACATTGGCTTTGGTGACAATGAGCTTATGGATGTCTTAGAAGATATTGCATTAACAGATCAATATAGAGGGGAAGAGGTAGATTACATCGAGGATGGCTATGTAGTCAATGACTCGTTGATAAACAGCCCAACTAAATGTGTCGTATTTATGTTGTAGTACTCTAGTTGATCTATAGATTGGAAATGACTCTTTGTATTGCGCATGCTCCTGTAGACCATTGGTACATCCTCATAATAATAAGGTTGCGAAAGCATCAAATGTCACGTGACTTTAAGATGACTTGCAAAAAAAAATGTAGCAATGTCACATGACAAACAAAGCAACATTGTGAGGGTTGGCAGGAAGGCCCACTTGCTAATAGAATGACAGGTGGGAGAGCCCAGATGATGTGTATCAGTTTGGCGGGACAGCCCAGATGACAGTAGAGAGGTAGATGGGAGAGCCCAACTGGTGTAATTAGGGTCGGCGGGAAGGCCCAGATGACACTAGAGTGGTAGACGGGAGAGCCTGACCGGTGTAATTTGGGTTGTCAGGAAGGCCCAGGTGACAGTAGAGTGATCAACGGGAGAGCCCAACCAGTGTAATTAGGGTTGGCGGGAAGGCCCAGATGACACTAGAGTGGTAGATGGGAGAGCCCAACCGGTGTAATTAGGGCTGGTGGGAAGGCCCAGATGACAGGAGAGAGGTAGACGGGAGAGCCCAACTGGTGTAATTAGGGCCAGCGGAAAGAGGTGACAGTAGAGTGGTAGATGGGAGAGCCCGACTGGTGTAATTAGGGCTGGCGGGAAGGCTCAGGTGACACTAGAGTGGTAGACGGGAGAGCCCAACCGGTGTAATTAGGGCCAGCGGAAGGCCCAGGTGACAGTAGAGTGGTAGACGGGAGAGCCCAACCGGTGTAATTAGGGCCAGTGGGAAGGCCCAGGTGACAGTAGAGTGGTAGACGGGAGAGCCCGACCACTGTAATGAGCTAGTCATATTTATCTATTCCCCCCCCTCTCTAGATAGCATCCCAAATTGAGATTAGTGCCTACATTCCTCTCTTCACCTCTCATACCTCCATTAGAAAGGTTTGCTTCATTAGCAATGACAAACAATTGCCACCCTATGGTCAGGATGATATCCAGGACCTGAAGAGCATCTTTGAGGTCACAAATCTCAAGGACCATGCCCTCGTCCTGAATGAGAGGATGGCTTGTCATTATATCAACATTCCCAGCCAGGAACAGTTACATGGAACTACCCCTCCTTCATTGCACACCCTCCGTTGTCTTATGACAGACTCGCAAGTAAAGCTCCCACAGTTTATTGCATATTCTCTGTGCCACCCCCCCCGTCATCTTATCCAGGCCCACAAATAAAGCTCCCACATGTTATTTCATATTCTCTGTGCCACCCTCCCCCCCTTTGTAGAACACCCCCCCCCCCCCCCTGTTGTCTTATGACAGACTCGCAAGTAAAGCTCCCACATTTTATTGCATATTCTCTGTGCCACCCCCCTGTCATCTTATGCAGACTCGCAAGTAAAGCTCCCACATTTTATTGCATATTCTCCGTGCCACCCCCCCCCCCCCCCCGTCATCTTATGCAGACTCGCAAGTAAAGCTCCCACATTTTATTTCATATTCTCTGTGCCACCCCCCCTCGTTATCTCATGCAGACTCGCATGTAAAGCTCCCACATTTTATTTCATGTTGCCCGCTGTAGAGACTCATGCCTCTCATGGCGTGATATGGCAGTTTTCACTAAGGGAGTATACAGCACCAACTCGCAGCACCACTCTGTGTACTGTCCACAGCAATTCCTATATGAGGCGCAGCTTTCCCGCGCTTCGCGATGTATACACGCGCGCGCATTCCCACGCTTGTGCGCCCTATAGTGCCAGCCATCCAGATGCATCCATCCACTGTCCACCAAGCTCCCTAGTGCGTATATTTCCATTTCCTTTATTAGCATAGTGTTCTACCTTTATGTTTATCATGGACTCTCACTCATATATATCTTTACATACCTACTCAGTAGCGCTTCGGCTCTGCATGACTGCGCTTAGGCGCGCTATATAAGCGCCAGCAGTACATACTATTAGGAACGGACTTTTACCTCCCAATTACTAGTTATCACTTACTTACTACTTAGCAGAATATAGTAGAAGTCTATTTGTCTATACTTCGCATCTCCCTTCTCCTTTCTTGCATTATATTATCACTTGAGTCTAGTCTTTATCATTTTCCGCATACGCGCGCGCGCTTTCCCGCGCTTCGCACTAATACGCGCGCGTGTTCCCGTGCCTTGCGCGCACCTGCGCTTTCTCGCGCTTCACTGAAGCGCGTACCTCTAGATCTTGGCTGCACTCGCTTCCCCTTTAGGGTCGAACGCACTTGTCTCCTCAAGTAACGCAGGCTAGGCAACGCACGACCTTCAACTATTATAGATACAGCTAGGAGCATCTTTTGTTTCCTCTCTGTATTGTTGTTTCTACACCGCAAGACAATCCAACTACTCAATGACTAGTGCTGCACTCAGTGTCATCTATCACTCTCTTGCGCCTGTCCACCACTCCCTCAGCAGTCTCAAAGTGCGTCTCATGAGCATTATATATGCCAACAAGTAATTTTTTATAGCTATTGATTGCAATTAATAAAATACAATAAAGTCCACTCGATGCATCAAGCTTGGCTACAGTGTACCATCTATTTGAATCTGTCATACACTGCTGGTGCCCACCCACCCTTACAGTTCTCATTAGACTTCTCTTACGTTTAGGATGATGTTTTGGGCCAAAATCCCTACAGGTTTTGTCTGATATCAAAATCTTGTCTGAAGCACATATACTGGCCTTGCATACCCAGTACTACTCCTTCTATGAATGTACAAATCGTGGATTTTTATGCCGTCAAAATGTCTGAAAAAGGACCCCTATCACCCCTATTTATGATGGGAAAGCCCCCCTAATAAATGCCCCAGGACATCCCAGAGACATGCTAGAGTGATCCCGGTTGGGATTGGGAAAGATCAAAAATAGGTCCTTGGGATGGCCCAGATACTTGCTTCAGTATGGACTGGGACATCCCAGTACATAGGGTAAAATACTGGGAATACCATCCTAAAACACACCCACTAGGTCCTTTGCTATCCACAAACCAATAGACCTAAGAGGTCCTTTCAAGTGGTTGACTGAAGTGCAAGGCTATTGCGAAAAAATGATGTCCCCCACGAAAAAATGCAAAAGTAATAAAAAAACCAGGGCGTAAATCAGACCTCAATCCTTCCCTTCAACTGGACAGCACCCAACTCAGGCTTCAAGAAGAATATACCCAGCCTCCGCTTTTGTACAATGACCTCTCAATGATGGAACAATATGATGACAACGAGGGAGAGGAGGAGGAGGAGGAGGAGGAAGCACGAAACGATCAGCATGGGTCCTACCGGGAGGACCACCAACCACTTCCATACAACAATCTCCCTCAGCCCCACTACAGGGACCCTGGTGCTCCTCAGCACTACCAACCCCTTCCATATTACCCTCAGCCAGACCACGACCCCATTCCTCAACATTATCAACCCCTTCCCTATTACCCTCTGCCACAAATGCAGTATGATTATCTGCCGCCTTCCAGTCCCCCTCATGACCCGCGCTTTCACAACCAACTTAGTGTGCCATCATCCAGCCAGCAACCTGCTCCCCCCCCCCCCCCCCCATCACCAGACACGTACGACTATCTACCAAATGTACCAATGTTTGAAGATCTTGTACCTCCCGGAATCCAGGAACTCGAGCACACTACACGCTCAAGGTTCAGAGGTCTCGATCGAATGCGAGGAGAACACCTCGAGCGCCAACGGGCTCGTTGTGCAGCCCAAGTAGGCACCAATGTTCCCGGAATCCGCACCGTATTCATATACAATCCACGCTGCCATCCAGCAGAGAGCCAACGAGGGCAACTCATTACAACTGGCGTCATCAGGGTAAGTCTTCTGAATCTGGTTTTATTTTTTTTCTTATTTTACAAATGTAGCCTACAAGCGAAGTATCTGTTACAGCGCCGATTCCATCCCGACGACAACTACTGGCACCCATTACACCATCCAGCCCTCAGCCTAATGCTGATCCTGGACTCCGGCAGCTGAAGGATAAAGAGCTGAAAGATGTGAAGAAGGAGGCGAAACAGGTGATGCGCAGAAAGGTGCTCCTTGAGAATGCAATGCTCACGACGGAACACAATACTGAAATGGCCAAGGAAGCATTTTTGGAGGCAGTGGGACGTGTAGTATCGGGCGTATCATTGATGGCCTCGCAAATACCGGATTGCACCGAGACCTGCAAGCAGCTATCAGGGATCACAACGACCGTGCATGGAGTCTTCAAGAAGGAGGCATGATGGCTCATTCTCAACCACTATTCTCTTTCTCTCGAAGCCAGAGACACAAGATCGTTGACTGACCATAGAGAGACTACTGTTGCCCTGCTTCTCATCAACCACCGCTATCTCTTTGTAAGTCCATTTACTTTGCTTTCATTCTTAGGTTGCTAAACTGGCTTCTTTCAGAAAGATCCTACAATCATGTCCCCTGTCAACCACCCCACCGTCATCGAGACGATCTGTAATTCCCTCTGGACCACTCATCTTCATGAAGCGCTCGACTTCGATGAGCTCGACAAGTTCGACAACCTATTCTCAATCGGGGGCACTGCGGTCCATAACACTCTACTAGAGTTCCAAGATGGTGTATATAAGTCAGTACAATTTTCACCAGCATCTTTGTCGGCAACGGAGTACAAAGCAATTCAGACCCACAATATGATCGTCCGCGACACACCTACACTGCATGCTGCTTCGTTGTCTGTAAAGCAGAACATGATTGCTCTGGGGACGGCTTTGCGTGCATGTTGATTAGCACCTTCCTGATAGTAGTAGTACTACTAGATAATCAGTGTACCTCTGATAATCGTTGAATCTCTGGAATATATCCATTTTCTGCTAGACAAACTTTACTTTTGAAGCGAAAGTCCTAGCCACTCGCATAGCAGCATTACATACTCGGGTAAATAAAACTCTGCTCGACCAGCACTTGACGAGCACTTTCAAGTTTTAGATGTAGGTATCTATGGACTAGAGGAATTATTGTATCCCATTTCATCTATAATTGTAGGCATTTAATGTATCATTCTTACAGTATGGCCTGGTTGTCGTCAACTCGTGGCAAGTTCACTGAATACGCTGAAGGTACAACAATTCAGATGGTGAGTCTGAACAATGTTGGGTCTTGCAGAACCTAGCTGCTATTCGACCCTAAAGGGTTTCTGGACCAGGCTCAAGGCTCAGAGAAGAGGAAATATCATGAAAACTTGCTCAGCACTCAGACTCATACTGGTAACTGGTGAAAAGATTGATTGCTTATGTAAGCTACAAAAGTGCCAACATAAGGTAAGGTAAAAACAGTCTCTACAAGCCCAGCCAGAAATGAATCCCTACAACACGCGCAAGGGCGTCTTCCATGTGTATCAGCTTTTCCCTCCACTGCACATTGCCGCACCTGCTGTCACCTATCGCAAACACTTGATCGAAAAGATCACAAAAGATGGAGATGGTCTTGCTTTCATGCACATTTATAGCTTCGATCAAGTAAGTTTTCATTCATGTGTGTTGTCGGGGGCAGCTCAATCTTTTCAGAACGGACAGGTCGAAATCAAAGCTAAATTTCAGAATGTGTTCATCATGTGCAACCTTATCCATTTTGTTTGGCAGGGGTTGCACCAAGATTTCCTTGGCGAGACTGAGGAACAGCAAATCAAAAATTTGAAGTTCATGTGGGCACTCTTCGACGCAGTGACATTCTGCAGCCTCGACAAACAGTTTGAAGTCCAGGTGAAAGTGGATAGTTTTGGAAGAATGGGATCCAATCACAAGTTCCTATATATCCTCAGTGTGATGAACAACCTTTCCGGGGACGAGCGAGTACAGTTTCACAACTTTTTGCAGTACGTGTTAGTGATTGGACCATTGCAGGCACCCTCATATATTCTATCAGATAGTAGTTTTGATTGTACTAGTAATACTGGATAACACATTTATTGTACTGATAATCTCACATCGCATCGATAATCTTCAAATCTCCCATCCAAATGTGTGAAACTTGGCTCAGGGTTCAAACATAACCAAAACCAGGTATTTACGAACTAGATTTCGTGCTAACCAAAATGGCAACTCTCACGAGAGTCTTACACATCTGCAAAACTGTGAAATGAACGCTTAACAATATTTAAGTTCGAAGCTATTACGACCTCTTACGACTTGCTGATTCTGAGCTCTGATTGGTGGAGATGCAGATGGCGACACGTAAGTGTTTGCAATGCCCAAAGATTGGTTTTATCGCACACAAGATTAAATAAAGACATGATAAGATGCGCTGATTTCAATCTACTACAACTACTAGACACCAAATGCTACTGCTAGTGTGTGGTAGAGTTCTTTGTCAGCGAAGTTATTGAGAAAATAGTCGTTAAAAATCTCCATCGAATTGCTCGAGTTGACCTCCTTGGCTAATAAAGTGTCATACACAGGGATCAGTTCCACCCCATGAGTGATATTGGTGATAGGAATTATAGAACTACATCGCTTTCTGGACTGTGGCTGCGAGACATTGTGAAAGAATGAGCGTGTGAGTCTCCACATCCCCGTCATAGGCTCAGGTTTGTCTCCGATGACGTCGAAGTGTTGAACATACGCAAGCACTTGATCAAGCGCAGGCGCTTCAATGGGCAGTGCAGTTGGCTGGAACACGGCTCGGACTTGGACTACACAAGGAACTGTGAAATGAATCTAATATTAATATATGCCAGAAAGGTTCTACAAGAACGCACCATTGCTCCTGTTGTTCTGAATGAGAACAGTATCACAGCGGCCATAGGAGAACTCGCTGGAGGGGGGTTCAGCTTGCAACAATTGACTAGGCATGATGGTGCGCTCGTGGAAAGCTGAATGTAGCTGAATTCGAAACTTGAACCAAGCATTCAAGAGTATCCAGCTGCTATGCATATTGAGATCTCCGTGGTAGTTGATTGTGAAGTAGTGGTAGAGAGCCTGTGAGAAGTCAACAAGGTCATATAGCGTTTGAAGCTCAACGATGGTCAAGTGTTTGCGATTGGGGTTGATGATAACGTTGAAAGCGATTTTCGCATCATCGGACACAATTCCTTTCAAGAAATGGTTGCGTACTGGGCGTGGGGCATGTAGGCATCGTTGAGTGTCTGGATTTACACAAGAAACCCAAGCTAACGCTGGGTCTACCTCTGGACCAGCGACTTCGTCATCTTCCATGAAAACAACATTGAGAAGCGGGTCATTGCTAGTGCAACCAGAGGCTGACACTGGTGATGAAGCTAGTAGGGTGTAAAGCTCGAAGAGACGAATTGTCTCCTCCCGTTCAAGGATCCGCGTGATTTGTTGAACAAAATCCTTCTGTCGACTGGTCTTCTCAAAAGGGTGTTTGCAGTGGGTGATGAGAAGACGTTCCGAAACATCTGCTGAGTATTGAATGAGGGAGCCGACGTGTGGGATTGCGCGAGCGAAGCTCTGCATGAGCTCTAGTTTGGGGATGAAAAAATCGTCCTTAGCTCCACTTTTCCATCGTCGCGCCTCTGCATCGATGATAGCTTGCTTATGTTCGTCAAAGACAGAAAGCGCAGTCGACATGTCCTTGATTGATGTGTCAGTATGAACCGGATTTTGTGCGAGGTAAATGAAATCGATCATCGCGCGAACCGCACGAATGAATTCAGGAGTTACAATTCCCCACATTGTAGGTACTATGGTGCACTGGATATCGCGATGCTCTCTGCCAGTCATTTGCTTGACATGTGAGACACCTGACGTGAAATGACACACACCCACACGCTTATGCTGACTCCGAAATCGTAAATCGAGCTCGTGTCCCATGGTTTCCTTGACCCACTTCAGGACATGGTCAAAGAAGAATTTGTGCAGAGCGTGAAGAATTTCCGGGGTGAGAAATGTCGCTGGGTTTGCGTATTTCCAGTCTCTCCAGAATGGTAGGTGGATGCCGCTCAGGTGCAATTTCTTCGCCTCCTTAAGGAAGCTAAAGAGATCCCAGGGGTCAACCCTATCGCAGAGCTTGCGGATGAGCTCATATGTATCGACTCCGTTGCGTGGAGGATATGCTATGGCGTCCCCAAACTCCTTCTGTGTGGCTGTAGTGATGGGAGACGAGTTCTTGGAAACACATGCAATCATAAGTTGTTCAGGAAGATCAGCGATATGGCTGATGAGAGGGGTAAAGCAAAAATGTCTATGTGCTGAAGGATCGACCATGAATTCGCCGACACGTGCAGCGATCTTGAGTTTTGAGCAGACGAGGTCGACACATTTGTGCCACAATCGCGTCTGAAGAAGAGTCTGATAGTCCGAGTTGACGAGGAATTTTTGTATCGGCATAAATGCGACACATTGCCATGCATGTGATGTAGCTTTCATTCGGACATCAGATTGGATGTTTCTGATGGTCATGAATAATGGGTGCATTTCTAGTCCACTGGTGTGTCGTGTGACGGGTGTCTTGTCCAAAGCGGTGATAATTGGTACAATAGTAGCACCTTCAGGAAGCTGGTCCTACAACATTTGAGGATCAGCGATGCGGCTAGGAACGAAAATAAATGCATGCTTGTATATTCCAGGCATCATCTGATGTCCAGAACTCTCCAATTTCGCGCTCTTGTCCATTGTAGATATGGTGAGGGTCGTAACACATGTGATTCGCGTACACTGGATTGGAAAAAGCTGCTTCACAACTTCTAAACCGTCTCTCCAGATGAGGTGAATCGGCTGCTCAGTCTCATAACCCTTCAGATGAAACTCAGTACACTGCCATTTTGGTCCACGTCCAGGAAGTTGCTCCAAGTAATAGAACAACTCGTCCTTTGATTTGAATTGTGGTCGCTCTCATGTCTTGAACTAGGAGACAAAACAGATGCTAGTCAGACCAAGAGACTGAAATTGACACAAACGTACCCATTCCAACTTCAGGAATTGCTCTATCTGAGTCTGTGAGAGATTCTCAACTAAAAACTTCGCTAGTGACCATTCTCCTGGGCCGTTGAATGGGTACCATGGGTTCACTTGTCGTTCAGGCTGAAGGCGATGGTCTTGCATTTCTTGAAAGAGATTACAGGGAGGTGGATGGTCCGGGAGAACGTAGTGGTATCCAGATCTGGGGTGATATTGTGCTTGTACATTGCTTTCTGGCGCTTGTTTCAATCCTCTGGGTGCAGGGAGTGTCGTGTTTTGGCGATAACACGATCGATTAAGATGGTCCGCAACTGCCTCGTGTGAATTGAAATGATCATTGCACAGTGGGCAAGACACACTGCCAACGTCAGTCCTAATACTGGGATCAGTGTCAGGCCTCGTGCTGGTAGAGTAAGTAGCGGTAAAGCATCAAATGACCCATGCTAACCTTGAATGAGTATCACCAAAATCATAGGTAGACTCTTGAAAGAATCTGGGACCGAAAGGGTCATAGTTTCTGGGCTGGGACTCTAGCTGCGGGGCGACCTGTCCAACTGAGTGCACAGCGCCATAGTACTCCATGATGGAAAAAGTGCTAAGTCTTTCAAACTCCGCTGTGCGTTATGCTCTCAACAAACGCCGTATACTCACATAGGGGTCAGCAATATTTAAGAGTGCTTTACATGTTGTACAAAATGCGAAAACAATACTTCAAACTTTGAGTGGTCGAAAACTCCATGTATCTGTAGACATTTTCACCTTTGATTAAGTAACAAATATATAAATTGGCATACATGTCTAGCTAAACTTGAAATTTTGGCGGTCAAAGTTTTGTCAAACATTAAAACCCAGTGTCAACAAAGAAAATGTAGTTAGCTATACCCTACAGTATAGTAGGTATAGCCAACTACATTTTCTTTGTTGACACGATTGCTTTCCTTGGGTTAGCTACACCTATACTGTAGGGTATTAAAGATGTTTTCTTTGTTGACCGAAGAAAACATCTTTAATACCCTACAGTATAGGTATGGCTAACTACATGGGCCGCTTAGAGGCCAGCCCACCCCCAAAACTGTTCGTGTTAAGAGTTCTGTCTCAGGGGTATTTGTGGTGATAACAGGCGAGCGAACGAGAAGAGAGGGAGCTAGAAAACAAGGTACGATCTCAGTCTTTGCTCAAGAACTCTTATTAACAATGTGCGCTACCTAGAAAACAAGGTACACTACGGCTTTTGTTAGCTAACGCTGACATGCGCAAAACTAATTACTTACATCTCAGTCTTTGCTCAAGAACTGAGATGTTCGCGTCTACGGGTGCTTGACTTTATAGCTGGTAAGTAAGGAACGAAAATAAAACATAACTCATCTGACATATTGTCAGGAACTCGGCCGACGTCAGCACAGCGCATCCTATTGGTCTCTTTGGGCTTGCGCTTGAACCACATTCCTCAACTTCTCCCCCTCGTGCCTGGCTTGTCGGATTCTTCGGCCATCGTCTTCTCTGCTCCCTCCGGTTCCCCAGAATCTGACAGTATTAAGTTAGCTATACCTATACTGCAGGGTATTGAAGATATTTTCTTTGTTAACCGAAGAAAATATCTTCAATACCCTACAGTATAGGTGTAGCTAACTTACCTCTGAGGCAGAACTCTTAACACAAACGGTTTTGGGGGTGGGCTGGCCCCTCTAAGCGGCCCAAGGAAAGCAATCGCGTCAACAAAGAAAATGTAGTTACCCTGGGTTTACAAAATATATATTTGTTACTACTACTGCGCTTGAGCTAAGTCTTTCGAACTCCGCTGTGTGTCATGCTCTCAACAAACATATACTGTGCTTAGATATCAAGTGACAAGCACGCACTCGGGCAGCCATTTATCATAGATGTCAAGACTGCAAACCAATATGCGTTCAATCGACGGTCAAAGAATGAACACCCCCAGAAACTCCAACAGAAACTCCAAATTTCTCAACCCTCACAAAGCCACTCCAGTCTCACACAGTCAAAGGACTACTCCCCCCCCCAGAAGCCCCAGTATCTTTGATGACCCGCCCAGAAGCTCTTCTCCACTCAGCAGTAACTATCTATCCTCCCCCAGCAAGTACCACAACTTAGATTCAGATGGGTCTGCTCCCTCCGAGGAATCACTTCAAGCTCCTGCTGTCCTATCAGGACAGGTCGGGCCACTCCGTGCCCAAAAGAGACTTACACGGCCTACATACGGACCTTACAGGCGGAGTGCGCTCTCTCTGTCAAAGATGAACGCAAGTTCATGAAGTTGCTTAGTAGACCTTACTGTGGCAACTCTAGTGATACCAAAGACGGTACCATGGTAATCAGGCTGCGACTTAGGAGGTTCTCAATGATGCTAAGTTTTGTATTTCTAGGATCAACAAGTATTTTCGCGTGGCTTGGAACACTTTGATCAAGATGGAGTTCACTACGTGATCGCATACAAAGAAGCTGCCCATGAAACTCAACGGGCTCATTTTGCTGTGTCCCAGTGGGAGATGGAGGAGGCCTCACAGCTGAGACACCTTCGCCAATACATTCATGCGAGGGAGAGAGAACTTCTTCATGCAAAAACCGAAGAAGTCGAATCATTTATGAACATGCTGGTTGATCGGGACGATAATCAAGTCACTGCTGACCTTGATTATCTTGTCACATCCCGCGAATCCGAGCGTATCACATTGGACGACCTTGACAAAGATCTAGACACTCTCACAGACCATGCCTTTCGCACCGGCATTCTGAAGCTGTTATCAGCTGATTCTAGCGAGGATCGATCCGAATTCGACGACACGGGTGATCACGAACACGAGGCCAATGGAGGTTAAATGTTCAGGTTGCGCATGTTGTTCTCTTTCAAGGTGTGTGACAACTTTTCCTGCCAGACTCTTCGTCCTTACGATTTCCAGCAAGGTTGTGTTAGTAACTGTGTTTTCCCGCAAACTGTTCAACATTCTACAATTTATGTAGCTTCCTGAATTTCATTTGTTGTGTATCAGTGTTTGTACTGCGTCCGGCACCTCATGAATATCATTTAACTTTGTTCCTATCAGCACAGCCAATTGTATGTAAGTCCACGAGTAAGTATCGATAATCGCATCTCTTTTGCACTGCTACCACAATGTCGAATGCCCCCCCACAACGTCGCAAGAGTCAACGATCTATGACAAAGGTGCGTAATCCGTTTGAAGAATCTTCTACCAGTAATAATATTTCATACAGAATTTGCCTGTCATTCGACAGGAGGGGTACAATATCGCTGGAAATCCCTCTACCTCACAGCTAGGTAGCGCAAGCGATGTACCACGACATATACACTACGATACTGACTCCGCCCAAATCGTCTACCAAAATCCGGACCAGCAACACCAGCTCACGCACGAGCACCAGCAACACCACCTCCCGCACCAGCACCAGCAACACCACCTCCCGCACCAGCACCAGCAACACCACCTCCCGCACCAGCACCAGCAACACCACCTCCCGCACCAGCAACACCAGCTCCCGCACCAGCACCAGCAACACCAGCTCCCGCACCAGCACCAGCAACACCAGCTCCTGCACGAGCACCTGCAACACCAGCTCCCGCATGAGCACCAGCAACACCACTATTATGGACTTACCTACCCTTCCACGAGCAGAACATCTTTTCCTCCAAGTTTTCGCAGTGAGGTTCCTGCCCCTAGGAGGTCCCTATTATCTGGGGACTACCCTAGGGTAGCAGGGCCAGACCGAAACACTCGAAGCCGCCAGGCTCCCAAATTTCAAGTGGCCTATAGCCTAGCGCCAATGCGCTTCCAGGAGGAAGAGTTTATGGATGGTGTTGTGTATGCAAGTATCCACAATCTTGATGTTCCTATTGCTGCTGACCGTAACAGAGGGTAGGAGAATCAGGCATCCAAAGGAGAATCACACGAGAATACGCCCTCCCCCCAGTCAGGCCACCACGAGTGGTAGGTTCTGTGTCAGATTTGTCTGGAGTATCCGCATCTACGTCAGTGCCGGTGTCAACGTCCGCATCAGCGGCAGGATCAACGTCTGCGCCTGCACCATCAGTTCCCGCGCACATTCCAGCGCCTGCACCATCAGTTCCCGCACACGTTCCAGTGCCCGCACCATCAGTTACCATGCAAATTCCAGCCCCCGAATCGGTCATGTATTCACCCCAAGGTGCATATGACGTGAAAAACGCGGTCCACAAAGCTGTCGTGAAGGCAGCTAGTGAGATTGTGATGCGAGACGCATTAAATAAGTGTTGCTTACCGACAACCTCCGAAAAGCAAGCTACAGCACGTCAGGCACTTCTCGATTCATGTCATGGTAAGTCTCGAAAACGATTCAATGTATCATGCTAACAATTTTTTTTTCAGTATCAACAAAAGACTGGGCCGTCCAAAACTTGGGCGCGCTATATAAAACGGTCACCGTGCCAGTCACAGATCTCTTGTCGAGTTTCGGGAGCGTTGCTCATGGAGTCGTTCAACGGGCATATGGTCTCCGCATGTCAGTCTGGTCCGAAGAGGACGAGGCAGCGCACAAAAGAATGATTATTCCAGACCTTGTTGGTGAAACTACACTAACTTTCATATACGGCGACACTCTATCAGTATGTTTCCATTTATTTTCTCGAATGTTTCTGATTTTCAGTAGCTTAATGACAACAGCTCCCAGACAGTCCAGTACGCCTTTGAGCATGTCGGTATCACTGACGTTGCTCTGGACGCTGTATGGACCGCTGGGTATGGACAGTATGTCGATAGTCTGAAGGCACTCGCCAACATCCTCGCAACCTCCACTGCTGCTATATTCTGTCGTCTTCAAGAGCACCGTGATGGCGTTCGACGAAGCATCAACTTTTCTGCGGCAGCCTTCAGGGGTATATACGACAAACTACTCCTCCTCATCAAGGAAACAATCATGACTACTCCGCATCTATTGCAGAGGTGGGAGAAGTACATCGTGCACCTCTTGAAAAGAGGGTGTAAGATTGCTGGGATCGACTACAGCCGCTACACTATCAGTAATCTACAATCGTAATCTAGACTTGATAATGCAGATTTCGTTGTGATAACATACCCGAGGCTCGGCTCAATCTCCGTCAACGAAAAACATAAGACTTAGTATAATTGAGGTATAGTCCCGCCGTGTACGTGAGCACGACCTGACCTATACCAAATCCGACGCTCAAAAAGCAACTTTTTGAGCGTTTCGGACCTCAGATGCGGATCCACGTGTTTTCTTATCAGACGCCCCGCTCTTGTGATCCCCATGTCTTCTCTATTCTATAATCAGGTCCCCGTTCAAAATAAAGTACATCAGAGGAGAACTCTTCACTAGATCAAATCGTCATGGCTAATGCTCTTGACACTCTCCACATCTATGGTACTCAATTCTTGTCTATCATTAACCCTGTTGAATATATCCAATAGGTATCACCGTCGATATCAGCAAGTCGAAAACGAATATAGAGTCTGCTGAAGTACGGATCGGCAAATCACATTCGCCAATCGAACTTAAACGCGAAGAGCCCGAAGGAAGGAGTTTGCGACACACATTTTCTTTACCCAAGTGAGTACTCGACCCCAACACATGTTCTCATCTGAGTTGCTTCCGTGTCGCCGTAGGGTGTTTTCTCGCGACGAATTATTTTCCTTACATATGCGGCACAAGAATCATTTTCTGAGAACCAAGCATCATAATGACGTTACTTTCGACACAGATGAGATATTCCGTGCGTATGGTGCAAGTCAACGAGGTGAAACAAGAATCACACTCTCACCTCACACAAACTCAACTTCACACCTGTAGAATACATCAAGTGGTATAAAAAAATCCGGATCGTCGTCGACTTTTCCGAGAATACTTCAACTAAAGTAAGGATCCACGTCTGGCATCGAAACCATCTAAGTCGTAGATTAGCAGGCTGCCTCTTCCGGCCAAAGCTCTGGGCTCTCACCTACCACTTCCGACATATTTGAGAGGTGTCCTCAGTGAGTCAGGATGATCATGAAGTGCCGTCCTTGAGGCTGACGCTCCCAAGGTTCCGAATTCTGGTAATAGGAAAGGTATCTGACTTTTTCCGATCTCGAGCCAGCGTTGACGGCGTGCTTTTAATAGACAGGTGTTGGCAAGTCATCACTCATCGACCACGTATTTGGAGTAGGCAAACGAACAGTGAGCAAAACAGTGAGCTGAACGTGACGCTTCAACAAGCATAGTTGCTCATACTGTCAATAGATCGTTGAGCACGATAGGCCAGGCGAGGCTTGCATCGACGATGAGTTCACCTCGCGTGAGAACGACAGGTTCGTTCTCCACAATAGCAAAGGTTTCGAACCAGGGGAAGAAAAAAACCTCAAAATAGTCCAAGATTTTATGGAACGTCGAAAGAACATGCCAGATTTGAAGGATCAGCTGCATGCTGTTTGGTGGGGATTCTATCTCGACCATTCCGTTATGGTAGACTGACCAAATACATCGAAGGCTTTGTATTCAGATACCCCGTGCGGGCGGACGTTTGCTGGAGACAGGAACGGAGGATTTCCTGAAATCGAAACTTGAAGGAACCTTGGGAAACGGTAAGTGAATCGATAACTATCTCTCTGCTACGTCGGGGCTCACACTTTATCAAAGTTCCCGTTATCGTCGTCCTTACTAAATACGATATACTCGTCGATCGCGTGGAGCGAACTCTAAATGAAGCCTCTCTCGATGGATTGAGCGAAAAAGCTATTCAAGAACTCGTCAAGGAAGGAGCAGAAACAGAGGTGCAGAACACCTGCATCGGACCTCTCGAGGAATTCACAGGGTCTGATATTCCCTATGCCACGATCTCCAGTGTGTACCAATACTCTGACAGGTTCATGCGTGCCTCTGAAGTGTAATATTGCAGCCGCAAAAGGCTACAAGGAGACACTCACCGGCCTGATCCAAAAAACTGAAACCTGTGTCAATTTGCATCTTGAGCCCGATGCCGCGGTGATGACCTCCGTCGCTCAGCGAGTGCATCCTGGACTCAAAATAAAGGCATTGATTAAGTGAGTCTCGCTTGCCTCATTCTTATCTGGTGATTTACGCAATGTCAGGATTGGCAAACAAAGTTTGTCCCACTTTCGCGTTCATAATCACTGAATACAGTCTAAATCTTCGTGTCTTGAAGGATATTGGAATGCGCTCATGTCATGCCCAACGTTCAAGAACAACCAGATGAAGGATTGTCTGCGTGTGCTTCATAACGACATTGTCGACGTGTGGAACTTCCGTGATCCTCATAAGGTGATGTCTATCTTACTTGTCGTCGTTGCATCCGCCCTAACGTGATTTGTGCGTAGTACTTGCGCAGCCAACAGTTCAGGGATTTGATGATGACAATGGTCGATAACATACAAGCTGAATCCACCACCACGTCCATGTAGGCTGGTCTTTTACGTGTCAGATAAATTGTATCTCATTGAATATTTACAGGACATTTGGGTCGCCGGACCATCGTAGTACCAATCGCAGCAGTCGCCGTATTCGTCGCACAATGGGTTTATGAGGTATACCAGATATCGTACGCACCACTATTTTTCTCGCGTGCGAAAGGACATCGACACTTCTTTTTCAGCGACGTGGTGCTTCAGCGCTTGATGGCCTACATCATGCACTTGACGCTTGTGTTGCAGACACGTTTTTTCGTGTCAAAAAGCCGGGTACTCACTCATAGGGCCATCAAACTCGCGGTCAAATCCTACCTCGCCTCCCCAATAAGGGAAGAGGTTCTTACTCGGATTCAGGATTATGTCCAGGGATTGGCTATCTTGGCACACGCGGATAAGGATATCTTGGATAAAATCGAAGAGATGATGCAATTTTACGAGATGGATGCGGCACAAGTGTCCGAGCTTGAGGCAAAAATCCCCGATGTAGATTTGTTACCAGACGAGCCATGGTAAATCGAGAAGTCGTAGCGCTCGATTGATTCTTTCCTGGATGGTTTGGGCGTGGACGGTATCTGAGTGTTGACGCGATTACAGACAGTGCTCGCTTGTACTATACCACTGGACTTATGGCCGATCATGACAACGTAACCTGCGTTCTATCAACATCATGTACTTCTAGATTTGACTTGAGCCCTCCAAGGTGCCAAGGCAATCGTTCGACGCCTTCTGAACAGGTCGTGGTGCACTGGATTTAGATACTTGGTGAGCTAATGAGAGAAAACAATGAACAGTGCGATGGTCCCCACTGACTTTTTAGTGTTGAGGACCGATGTAGGGTTCGTTCCAGTGGTGGTAAGCCACACGGGGACCGCTGTCGTAGCCCAGCGGGCATCCAGCGCTAACTAACCGTGCATCATTCGATTCAGGTGTGAACGATTGATCGCTTCAAGCCTCTATACACCCTCGAGCCCCACACAGGCACACTTTTGACGTTTCAACGTTGAACGCCACCATAATTAATTTCATTCAATATTCAACTATTCATGCACATGCACCGAGCTCATTCATATGCATATAGGCTATATAGATGGTCGTCCAATACTCCATCACTGATCAATGATCACCGTCATCCCATTTCGCAGTACATACTTGTAACATTGTGAGTTACTAGGTATGCAGCCTGACTTGAGAACTCACGACACTTGTAGTACTGTTTACCGCAAGGCTCAATCATAGTAGTAAGTAGTAGTCCAAAGTCCGATATACGACTGGTTATGATCTAGGGATATTATATCAGCGAAGAGGCAGCGCCTAACTTTGAAATTATCTCCGGTACGCTCCAGAATTCCATCATCGTCCGCATCCACCCACTAACTCGAATTTATAACCCTGCTCATCCTCCGCACGCTACATAGTACCTGTGCGATAAATCCAGTTTATTCATCAATTACCCAAATTCCAGCACAAGCGACAACCGGCTATCCAGGCAATCCCAATCCCAAGGCCCTTGCATCTGGCCCCCTCTGCCAGATCGTATCTCAGCTCCTTCAAGGAGGAAGCCTGCCCACAGCGCAAACAATCCACATATGCCTCCGCGTCCACGGGATGGTATAAGCACTCCCTACATTCACCCTTCCAGCATCCACCTGCAGGACTTCACCACGAGCGGTCCGCGCCAATGTCTGCATCCGCGTGGAACGGACCCAATTTCATCGCAAGAGTTAGTAACCATGGGGCTTAACAAGTTCGTGTCACTTAGCCAACACCCGTCGCCATCAGCTCGACGACAAGCATCTTCGTGCTTGTCTTCCTCGTCAAATGTGTCAACGCCCATGGCTGAGAATATTGGCATGCCAGGCAGAGGGGAGTGTTATACTTACCTGCTGCATCTGCTGTCATAGCATGATATACAGGAGGGAGCAGCAGAGGAAAAGAATGTGGCGTGGACGGGGTGTATTATTTCGGACGATACCCACAGCTGGTATGTCTTCTGCCACGCACCTTTTTCATCCTCTGCTCCCATGTTCACCTCGTAAGATAGACTTGAACGTCCCTCCATGTCCGGCATACGAAGGCAGTCACAGGATATTTTAGAGTGGAGCGACTGCAAATCGATACGCTGATCGCCAACAGCTGATCGATTTCTTGTGTCAGTATTACTCGACCCCATCGAAAGATCGAGATTTTTGTTCATCCCTTAGATTGCACACTGGGTTGCTGACGTTTGGCGATGTCGGACGTTATCATAACGGCTGTCGATCGCAGCAAGCTCTCACGAGATTCAGCTCGTTAGACTGATAGGAAACGCGAGTGTTTTGTTATGGTTTTCTTTAGGCGCTCTCTCGTACGTTGATAAGATACGCATGAAAAGGCTACAAGTCACACTGAAGACCATGGCATAAAGTGAGATCCAACGCTGACAATTTGTCCTTGGACATAAGGCAGACATCTTGTAAGTCGATTTCTCCTTTGTTCCACGATAGCATCATCTCGGTCCCTCGAGAAGATGCATTTAGATTCCAGAGTATGATGCATGCGGTCGATACACTCATTGTTTAGTGAAAACGAGAATGGTGCAGTTCTAATCGTAGGCCCCGGGAATGCACAGAGCGCACGTAAGATAAACCAGGGTTCCACCTTTGACTTCGTAATCCAGGAACATGATAGTCTGCACACTGTCCTTGAAGAACTTACGAAAACTTTGGAGGCGCGTCCGCTGTTTGAAATCCATCAGTCTCGAAGGCTATCACCCGCGAACAGCTCAGTCTTAGCCATCAACTGGTGTCACTGACGTTGACAGAGACGTTCCATGGATCTATATAAAATGTAACTCTGAAATGACAACACTGTATTGCTTTTAAAAATATTGGCGCAAGTCGAAATAGGCTGCTAAGCAGCATGGTACGTAGAACATACCTGAACTCAATGCACTTGAATCGGACAAAGAGTGCTTCGGAGGTACATCAAGCCCAGTGGATTCCACCACCATCTCAGCTGAGGGTGACTCAGGTGCTTCAAACACCTGTACACCATACCAAGGAAAGCGCTACATATATTGTGTGATCATACAACCGTGTCATAAAGTTCCACCTCCTGAAACTACCTCAATAAACCTCTCGAAGCCCACATTCACAGCTGAGATAACTCATCCACTTCGGAACACCATCTACATTGCGTTGCATTGCCTGATATCAAGGTCTTGCTGAAAGACGAGTATATCAGCGGGATTGTTGCCACAGGATGACGACGAAACATACACAGGCGATGATTTAAAGTGATTTCAAGAACAGCGTTGATTAACTCCGCCTTCGCCTGAGAGGACGAAGATTCTTTCTCCTTCACGGAAGCAGCCACCGCTTGTTCATAAGCGTGAACGGGGTCGCTCACACCCTTCACGACAGCAGCTGCATGCGGAGATGACATGTACTGCTCCAGTGCGACATAAAAAGAGGGATCAGACTGCCCCTTGTCCTGAAGATAGCGCCGCTTGTCAAAAATATAGAAAGAGTGTTCGAAGATAATGACAGCAGCTAAACGGTCAATAATAAGCAGGTTCATCACCACGCAACCTCAAAATTCACCGGAAATGAGCTGAACAACGTTGTGCAAGGGCGATAAGCCACAGGCCTGGCGAATTGCCAACATGAGAAATGTGTACAATCTGGCACCAATTGGACACACCACAGAGAGTAACTTGGATCGTATCACCGCACAGTGCTCGTCGCGAAGCTTGTCCTATTGAGGGATCAGCATGGCTGTTGCTCGATCGAGGATCGACACACTCACTCTCTGCGAACGGTGGGCAACGACTTGGATCAGCATGGCTGTTGCTCGAACGAGGATCGACACACTCACTTCCTGCGAACGGTGGGCAACGACTTGGATCAGCATGGCTGTTGCTCGAACGAGGATCGACACACTCACGAACTGCGAACGGTGGGCAACGACTTGGATCAGCATGGCTGTTGCTCGAACGAGGATCGACACACTCACGAACTGCGAACGGTGGGCAACGACTTGGATCAGCATGGCTGTTGCTCGAACGAGGATCGACACACTCACTTCCTGCGAACGGTGGGCAACGACTTGGATCAGCATGGCTGTTGCTCGAACGAGGATCGACACACTCACGAACTGCGAACGGTGGGCAACGACTTGGATCAGCATGGCTGTTGCTCGAACGAGGATCGACACACTCACTCTCTGCGAACGGTGGGCAACGACTTGGATCAGCATGGCTGTTGCTCGAACGAGGATCGACACACTCACTTCCTGCGAACGGTGGGCAACGACTTGGATCAGCATGGCTGTTGCTCGAACGAGGATCGACACACTCACTTCCTGCGAACGGTGGGCAACGACTTGGATCAGCATGGCTGTTGCTCGAACGAGGATCGACACACTCACTTCCTGCGAACGGTGGGCAACGACTTGGATCAGCATGGCTGTTGCTCGAACGAGGATCGACACACTCACTTCCTGCGAACGGTGGGCAACGACTTGGATCAGCATGGCTGTTGCTCGAACGAGGATCGACACACTCACCAACTGCGAACGGTGGGCAACGACTTGGATCAGCATGGCTGTTGCTCGAACGAGGATCGACACACTCACGAACTGCGAACGGTGGGCAACGACTTGGATCAGCATGGCTGTTGCTCGAACGAGGATCGACACACTCACTTCCTGCGAACGGTGGGCAACGACTTGGATCAGCATGGCTGTTGCTCGAACGAGGATCGACACACTCACTTCCTGCGAACGGTGGGCAACGACTTGGATCAGCATGGCTGTTGCTCGAACGAGGATCGACACACTCACTCTCTGCGAACGGTGGGCAACGACTTGGATCAGCATGGCTGTTGCTCGAACGAGGATCGACACACTCACCAACTGCGAACGGTGGGCAACGACTTGGATCAGCATGGCTGTTGCTCGAACGAGGATCGACACACTCACTTCCTGCGAACGGTGGGCAACGACTTGGATCAGCATGGCTGTTGCTCGAACGAGGATCGACACACTCACTTCCTGCGAACGGTGGGCAACGACTTGGATCAGCATGGCTGTTGCTCGAACGAGGATCGACACACTCACCAACTGCGAACGGTGGGCAACGACTTGGATCAGCATGGCTGTTGCTCGAACGAGGATCGACACACTCACTTCCTGCGAACGGTGGGCAACGACTTGGATCAGCATGGCTGTTGCTCGAACGAGGATCGACACACTCACTTCCTGCGAACGGTGGGCAACGACTTGGATCAGCATGGCTGTTGCTCGAACGAGGATCGACACACTCACTTCCTGCGAACGGTGGGCAACGACTTGGATCAGCATGGCTGTTGCTCGAACGAGGATCGACACACTCACGAACTGCGAACGGTGGGCAACGACTTGGATCAGCATGGCTGTTGCTCGAACGAGGATCGACACACTCACTTCCTGCGAACGGTGGGCAACGACTTGGATCAGCATGGCTGTTGCTCGAACGAGGATCGACACACTCACTTCCTGCGAACGGTGGGCAACGACTTGGATCAGCATGGCTGTTGCTCGAACGAGGATCGACACACTCACCAACTGCGAACGGTGGGCAACGACTTGGATCAGCATGGCTGTTGCTCGAACGAGGATCGACACACTCACTTCCTGCGAACGGTGGGCAACGACTTGGATCAGCATGGCTCTTGCGCGAATGAGGATTGACAGACGTACTGCCTGTAAGTAAAGGTTTGACATAAATGAGAGCAACCTTTGAATTTTCCAAGAATCTTACCCAAATATGTGGAAACCAGGCGCCCAAGGTTCCTATTATCATCTCATGACCTTCAGATGCGCTTGTCTCTGCAGAGTCAAGATGTTTTCGCAATGTTCTGGACAATATCAGTCGTTAACACCAAGTTGCGGCAAGCGAATGAGTCCATGGTTGGTTACCTTTCAATTGCATATTTCATGCAGACCTCCAAGTTGGTCTGTTGGGTCGTGACGAACAATCGCTTCAGTACTTCATCATCCAAAGTTGCAGCTGTGCGTTCGATCAGTGGTCCAGAATTTGCATCATCTTTGTCCATATCTGATGGATCAACGGTCATCATGTATGGGAACTTGACAATAAACCGGCTTACTGGGAAGGCATACGTGACATGGTGGAGGTTTTCGGACATCCTTGAGAAACCTCAGTTGCGGTCCGTTTGCAAATGTTTCTTCGGCGCGTTTTGCGGCCAGTTTTCTAGCGTCTTTCCGAGATTTTCCTTCTGTTTTCAGTTGTGTGTAAGCGACGTCGTATAGTGCATCGAACTTTGTGAACACAACGATGACAGGTACTGAGGATTGTGATTCTGCGCATCAGTCGAATGTCGATGAGGGTGGGACGCGAAAACTTACTGCTTCCTGTGTCGCACTGGGAGAAAAACTTATTCTCGGCTGCAGTGAACGACCTACATGCTTCGTCCATTGGGATGCAGAACCTATGTTGAAACCGTTAGATAGCGCATGCTGTGATTGACGGATTGCAATTACCATATAGTGTGGAGCCGTTTTGTTATCTTTGTTTCCTTGGAACGCTCAATGATAAATGTCTGGACCTTGTCGAATTCTGATACGCCGCCTGCCTCGAAACCCCGTGAATCATGAAAAACGAAGCCCGGGTTGCTTGGAAACACCACTTCGTCATCAATGTCGTGCAGTCCGCGCTGAGGGCACGTGAATTTATGACATCGACTAAGAGCACAACTCACCCCTCTGGATCCCGTTAAATCGATCTGATGTTGGTGGGTCAGTACCTTCCTCCTACTGGCAATGTGATGCCCACCTTTTCCCCTTTGCTGTTGTATATTTCTGGTTGGTCCCGCGTGTTGCAGACTCTCTGCAGAATGGTTGTTTTTCCTGCATTGGCTCTCCCTATGACGAGGATCCGAAAGCGACCGATTCTCTGTTTTATCTCTGAAGGATCCATGGGGAGGGTGAATGTGACTGAAGGAGAAGCGTTGGTGTGGCCTTATAATCGTTGCAGTGTGTGAACCCGGCGATTACCCAACCCGAAGCCAGCCTATATAGAATCAGTGTATTTGATATCATATGAGCTGTATGTGGATGAAGCGTACAAGACAAGACTGATAATCAGCATAAGATTCATATTTGAAATTAGCTTATCGTACCATACTCGTGAACCTATAACAAAACACTAGGCCAAAATCGTAACAAACACAACGACAACTTCGGAGTCGTACTACGTATCCCGTTACCTTATTCAACTTAGTAGATAGCAATTGGACGGAATGTGATTGAGGGAGTCGCAGACAAGACACGAGAAAAAACATGTCCAAACAAACTCTATCATACTATGACTTCAACGAAGGGTTTCGAAACGGACAAGCAGGTACTACAACCTTCAAGATAAGTCAGAGGCAGATTCAGATTCAGAACTGACGAGCTCGAGGTTTCCGAGGTCTTGTCATTATTATGCGTTGGGTATGATCAATCAACCCCAGGATAGCTCGTAACTTACGTAGGGCACCGGGCCCGGGTCTTCACAAAGACTTACATCGGGGTTATCGATATTTAGGAGATGTTTTTATGTCGTACCAAATGTGAAGAAAATATTTGAAATTTAAACCGACATAAAGATGGGGACATAACTTCAAATTTTGGTAATGTTTTGGACGACATACAAAATTTCAAGCATTGGCAACCATATTCCCACCGACTATATGTCAACAACAATAAGAAATTTAATCCAATTCTCTGCGTGTGCTCAAATTTGAAGTTTAATTCAGACCTAAAACGGCAGACAAAACATGAAATTTGGGACATGACTATATGCCTGCTTATTTATCAGGTTTTGTCTGACAATTAGGACACCCTGAAAATTTGAAGTTTACACCGGTGGCAAAATGTGATGACAAAACTTCAAGTTTTGTCTGCAGACAAAATGAATCGCCCGATCATCGCCCGCCCATCGCCCGACCATTGTCCGCACATAACTCATTCGTCACCTGCTTACCACCCGAACTCGTTACCTTGTGTATGACATTTGCAGATATGCGAGAATTCAAATATACACTGTTATTTGGATGTCTACTAAGTACTGGCTAGCATAGCACATTTTCATAACCATGCTATAATACATACACCCAACAGTACGAACTACGTCCCAGTCCAAACTAAATAAAACTTGTCAGTATGAATGAGGGGGTTTGTTTAAACAACTCTTACCAGGCACTCTCATCATGAAATCATAACACGCTGCCGAAATGTTTTGCATCATCTTGATTGTGCCAGGGTTGAATTTGAGGGAGCGCTTCCATTGAGTAGAGGTCATTGGACCATTGGCGTCATTGGTACATGAAAGTCGCTCATGAGAAACTCCTTCTCGGATATTGTCCAGACAGGTTTGGAACCAATCTTCGCAACGAGCAGACCAAAAACCAATGTTTAAGCCCAATGCATTCCAAGCATGTGGCCGAGGCCACCAAGATACTACTACATTCATGCCCTGAGCTAGATGGCGCGAGTATTAGTACAGCTACAATCGATCTGTATAAGGAAGAGAAAGCTTACCCTGGTGCACGTAGTATGTCCTGCACATAAAATCAATCTCTTCTTCCGACAACCCATCGTCGTAGTAAGTCTGACCATTGCTGCACAATAGGAGACCAAATGGAACAGCTTCGGGTGAGATACCATCAAGGACAGATGGGAGATGATCAAAACCGAGGCTGTGCAAAGCCAACCACCATATTAGTCCCCCATGAAGAAAAGCAGCTCTTGCTCGGGGCCGGTTCATAAACTCGTGATGCAGCTGCTCGTATACGACATAATCCGCGTATATCGCGCGGAAGGGGGATTGTCGGTGTCCCAACGTGTAGGTACAAAGCTCAGCAAGGAGGCACCGCAAGTTGGGTGCGATGGTCATACACTGCAGAGTCTTGAATGTCATACCTCTTTGAAGGAGAGCAAGTGCGATCTTCTTTACGTCTGAACCCCAGTTATGTCGCAGGCACATCACGGCAGTGATGGGGTCGAGAATAGCCAATGTCCAAACAGCATGGTTTGGGGAGTGGCGGGGCTCGATTATAAAGAACCGATTTTGTGATAGCTCGGCATAAGAAATCCGGACATGAGCATGTGAGACTTGTAAAGACGGATTGGATCCTAAATCCCACATATCAGGAGGTATCAGGTTGCCCAAGTCAGATTGCTTCAAGTGTACCAAAAGCACGACAAAGTTTGTAATGCTTCGGCGTTGTGGGTCTACAATCGAACCCATTTCAGTTATCGAATCCCCGACTAGTTTCCGAATATGTTCCCATTGCATTTTCTTGATCCATTCTTCCAGGCGTATGGACATGGGTCCATTCAGAGCAGGCAAGATAGCTGCCATGGGTCGATATCCGAAATGGTAATGTAAGACAGGGACGAGTCCTTCAATGCTCGCGTGTCTCGATGCAAGCGAAACCTCATCGCCGAAGTATTTGTATATGTCCTGCAAGAAACTGGAAGGGGTGGGAGGTGGAAGTACAGAAGGAGCAGTTATAGGGAACGGAGGCATGATGTCGTCGTCATCTTCCCGATCGTCACCGTCAGGGATGCTAGTCGGGTCGAGGGTGTGACACAAATCCCACTGGTTGGAGAAGGGGTCGAATATCCTAGTTTGCTTGTTGTAATCTCCCCATATTTCCGCTATGCAAGCCTTCGTGACGGGGTGATGCAACAGAAATCCGTCTTCATCATCATCATCATCATCATCATCATCATCATCATCATCATCATTGGGCCGCCATTCGAACACTTGAATCGTGCTGGACCTCCCGGGTATGTGATGACCCAATGCAGAACGTTCACGGCTTAGACGTGCCTGCCGTTGAGAGGGTGTTTCCTTCACCTCCCTCTCCTCGTTCCTCATGGCCCGGCGGGCAAAGAAGGCCTGGAAATCCTCACCACGCTTCTGACCGCTGTTTTTTTTGGGAAGCGGAAAATGAGAGAGGTCGGGCTGCGATTGAACAACGGACGCTGGTGCCGGATCGTTAGGCTGTGTGCCCCACGTATCGGTTCCCCATGAGTCATCCTTAGACGGGTTTTGATCGGACTGAACTCCCCAAGTATTATCGTCGAACTGAGTGCTCCATCCTGACTCGACGCCCCACTGATCATTGCCCCAATGAGAGCCACTTGAAGGCTGACTTGCTGCGGCGATATCTCTTGCTGAGGGCATATATTTGTTCCAGGCCTTATGGTGTGCAACGTTAGAAGGCCAATATACCCAGATTGGGACTTTGAAGCATTCAAACATGGTCACATCTGCGTCCCAGCCCAGACTGTAGGCACTGTTGATAATCACACCAGTGCGTGGTACGGCATCCGTGAGATCCCCGACAAATGTGCGGGAGAGTTCGACCACCCATGCAGATGGTATGGGACATTGAGGGTCTTTTGTCAGTAAAGAGGTCCAGGAGGGACCATCATGGGGTCTATATTGACGAGCCATGATGAAGTACGTGCAGAGAGTTGCGAGACCTGATAATATCGATGATAAGCCGCAATGCGCCACAACAGAAGGAGCTTCATAACTATGAATGTGTCGCGTGACCTCAGAGCAACTTTCTTTGTGAGGCTCACATCGACATGAGACCTCAAGTACCCGTAATCTCTCAGAGCTCATGGGGGTTGGCCATACCAAGGAAAATGCATGTTCGTTGCTAGACATCCCTGACACCAACTTAACTTCTGCTCCAGAGTCTGCCATGCTTCTCGGACATCCTTGCGTAAGATATAACGACCATCATGTGTCGCCTCGATGGGCACGGAGTAGTAGGAATGATTGAGGCACCCGAAAATGGCACCGTCAAAAATGGGATTTTGAGGGATAATAGGAAACCATGGGCACGATTCGTAAACCCACTGTGTAGTTAAAGCATCTTTGATATTTTCAGGAGAGCAATCCGACTGTTACGCACTCAAATAGATCTGTTATGCAGAGCCCTAAGAGGGGTGTCGTCCGCTAACGTTCGTGACGTAACCGGAAGGGTCCGGTGTAGCGACTGAGACTGGCGACGACGAGTCGGCAGATATCAGAGACGCGCGTGTCACGTGACTTCTAAGACAGATGTCTTTAAAGTCACTGACGTTCTCAAAGTAAGGACAGTCTTGTCCGAACGATGAGTAGTCGATCGAGGTAGACTTAGGCGCGATGAGCACCTAAGAAAAGATACTAGAGACTGAAGCTGAGGGGGCTTCAGAGGGAAGTATGTTCGAGGGAAGATTGAGTAGATTCAAGTTAGGGAATCTAGTACAGGGTGACCGACTACTTATACTAAGTGGAAAGGGTTAAGGGCAAGGCTACCGTACTGTAGGTAAGGGCAAAGGGGAATCGGAAAGGGTATAGGTACACTGGTAGCAGAGCCTGATTAGTGATGTGAGGTCGAATGCAGAATGAGACCGAGAAACGTTGGAATGAGCCAATGGTAAATGATACAATGTGCAGCACGCATGAGTCAGAGGAAAGATAAGACAAGATAAGGAAAGCCACATTGGTGGCACGAGTCAGAACGAGTCATAGCCCGAAGGCACGTGCGCACATTGGTGCGATAGGAGGGAGATGAGGGACGGGAACGGTCCCGAGGATCCGGTCAACGGATAGTCGGTAGAGAAGTACGAGCCGGAGGCATACGAGGGCGAGGACGAAGGGGAAACATGATAGGGGGGCCATGTAGCCGATGTTACTTGTAACATTACCCCCGTTTCAAGGTAGAGTTCCACGAACTCTTTAATCGTCGTCCAGGGGAACGTAGTCGTCCTGGTTGTTATACCACTCGGGGTCGAAGTCGAGGTCTTCGAGCCAGGAGGCAGCTTCGATTGCGTTCTCTTCGCGTTCTTGCTCGAGGCGAGCAGCGTCCTGGTCATACGCGGCTTCAAGCTGGCGCATGTCCCTGTAGAACCGGTCATAAGAGGTTCCACGGCGAAGGATCTTTCTGCCATCGAGTCGAGGGCAGAAGGGAGTGAGATGTTTTGGGGCAAATTGCCCACAAATGTGGCAGAAGTATTGCGCGCAGTGTTTCTGTTTGTGTCCGAAGACACGGCACTGGTGGCAAACAACGTTGCTGCGGTAGACCTGGGTGGTCTCGGTGGCATCACGACGCGCGTCGTTGATGGTGTCTTCCTGGGCTTCCTCGCGAGGATAGTGCCTAGTGAAGTTCTGGGTGTGCGGGCGATGCGCGTGGGAGAGAGGTAGTCCTAGGGACAGGATGGATCGTGCACGAGCACGGTGATTTCGGCGTTGCGGAGTGGGGAGAGGTTCCGGAGAACCAATAGAGAGGTGTGGGACCACTTCAGTGGGTACCCAATCGTCGGGGTTGAGAACAGGTGGTTCGGGGGGGGCACTCATCCAATTCTGGGATGGTGATAGAGATGGTGTCGACATCAAGAGTGGGGGAGGGGTTACGTGGAGCATAGAGCTCGCGTTCGTATTCCTCGTAGAGACGGTCGATTTCGGGGTTGGTCAGCTGGATGACATTGGGGATGTGCTCTGGTGATTCGGAGCGGGGTAGTTGGGGAAGGAAGGGGGTCGGAGCTCTGTCATAGACAGCACGCTCGACGACTGCAAGCGGGTCGGGAGGGGGATTAAATGCCCACTCCTCCTCGACGGCCATGACAGCGGCATGGAAGTTCCTGAGCTCAAACAGATTTAGTAAGGCTCGTTTGATCTTGCCTTGGTTATATCTGGTCGAAACGGTGGATAGGGAGGTTTCCCTAGCCAGATCAATCCTGGCGATATCGCCGGTGAGGGCGTCGGTGGCCCTGAAGGCCTGGACGAGGTTCATGGTAATGTCGTCGTTGGTGTGGTTGAGATAGTTGTCGAGTCGAAGTGCATACTGGGGATCGCAGATGACTGCTTCCCAGTAGGCCCGTTGCCTATCTTGGACAACTGAGCGAAGGGATGGTCGTCGGAAGACAGTATATCCCGGGGGGGAGGGCCCATCATGGCCAAGCGTTGGCTGGCTCGTCAGGTTGCGGTCGGAGGCAGACGCATGAGAGGTAGCAGATTGGTGCGAGGAAACAGACGATGCTGAAACCGACATAGCGAAGCGTCTTTCCTTGGGTAGTGGCATAGGTGGGGTATTGGGTAACGGGTCTCTGTTTGTTGATGGGTTTGGGTTTCGTGGGGCGGTGGCGATTGCGGATTCGTTGGCGATGGAAGGTTTTGGTGTTGGTGTGAATGGGTTCATCGGTGGGGTCAGCCCTCGTGTAGTGAGGACGGTAGGCGAAGTGGCGTTTGTTGATCAACATGAGATGGCGATTGAAGCGATCTTGAGTCGCTTCTTATATGCCTTCAGGAGCTCCGCTGCGGACTTCAATTCTGTTTCGGGGAGCCACGTTCGTTCAGAGGCAGGATAGCCAACCCAAGACACGAGGTACCGGCGACGCGATCCGGTACCCTTGTGTTGGAGGATAGCTTCCACTTCATAGTGTTCCTCTCCATCAATAAGATCAGGAGGAGGTTCGGTGAAATTCGGTCCATGCACGTCTGTCTCCTGATAGGAGGAAAGTTCCGAGGCATGGAACGTGGGGTGGATACACCAGCTGGCAGGCAGCTTTAGCTGGAAGGTGATGGGGGAGAGGACCTTCTGGATTGGGAAGGGTCCATATCATTTCGGGGCGAGTTTCCTAGAAGGGAATCCAGTGATTAGGTTCGTGGTGGATAGCCATACCTTATCACCAACGTTCCATGGCTTGTAATGCTGGCCATGGGAACGATCAGCCATGCGTTGCTGCGCGAGGCTGTGGCATGCAAGGGCTTCTTCGTGGATCTTGGCGAGTGATTTGACTCGGTCTTCGGCGGTTGGTAGGGTAGAGTCGGGGAAGAGATGGGGGATGCCTCGTGGTTCGTAGCCCATCATGAGATAGAAGGGGGAGGCATTTCTGGCGGAGTGTCGTCGGGAGTTATGAACGAATTCGGCCATAGGCAAGTGTTTTGCCCATTCGGAGGGAGTCGTCCGGCAGTAGATCCGGAGGTAGGTTTCAAGCTCTTGGTTGAGCCGTTCGGTCTGGCCATCTGTCTGAGGGTGGTAGGCAGTGGAAAGTGCGACTTGATAGTCGAGGAGTCGTCCTAGCTCCTTTGCTAGCTTCGAGGCGAATTGGGGGCCTCGGTCCGAGATGATCTTGTCATAGAGTCCGAAGCGCATGAACACTTTCTTGAAGAAAAGTTCGGCTACTCCTTCCGCTGTGATGGTTTTTCTGCAAGGGCAGAGAATTACCCCCTTCGTAAGCCCATGGTCTACCATGACCACGACAGAATCGTAGCCGGCGCTCTTGGGGAGGTCGGTGATTAAATCAACCAAAACCTGAGCGAAGGGCCGGAGGGCTGAGGAGGGTATCGGGGTGAGGGGAGGTGTCGTGGGGTGGGTGTTAACCTTCATCTGCTGGCACATGGCGCAGCCATCGACATATTTCCTAATGAAGGAGCCCATTCCGGGCCACCAGTAGGATTTCTTGACGTTCCATTCGGTACCCGAACACCTGGGGTGCCCGGCAGTTGGGTGATTGTGATGCAGAGACAGCACGCGATGCCGGAGGTCGGGGGGAATGTAGGCACGATCCTTATAGAAGAGAACACCATCGGTGAACCTCCAATCAGAAAGTGCAGACTTCATGGGGGGTGCACACACCCCGGAGAGGGTGTCCAAGGCTGTTTTCACAGTCTGGTCGGAGGGGTCGTCAGAGAGTCGTTGGAACTTGTCTGTGAGTTCAGCGTCAATTAGACGGGTGAACAGGGTGTCGGGGAGGAGGATACAATCTTCGTTATCCTGACCAGCTATAGCGTGGTCCAGACAGCGGGATAAGGCATCCGGTGCAGCGAGCTTTGTTCCAGGAACGTGGTGAAGTTCCAGATCAAAGTTGGTGAGCGTGAGGTGCCACCGGGCCTGTCGTCGGGTGAGTCGTTGTGCGGAGCGGAAATAGATCAGGTTCTTGTGATCCGTGAAGACAATGACCAGGTGAGGGTTTCCTTCGAGGAAGTGCCTCCAAGCCTGAAGGGCTCGAATGATGGCAAGGAGTTCCCGGTCGTAGATTTCGTAATTCTGTTCAGCCGCGTTGAGGGACTGGGAGAGATAGCCGCAGGGGTGGTAATCCCCATTGCTATCTGTTTGGAGCAAGACTGCTCCGGTCGTGAAGAGCGAGGCGTCAGTTGCAAGTGCAAACTGTCGCGAGGCATCGGGG